TTTTAAAAGATTTTTAAATTTTAAATTGCTATTTTGTTACAAAAATAGAGAAAATATAAAGGTTTGAGAAGTCCTTATTTGCCCTCAGGGAAGAGCCCTCTGTGCACCAGAACTCCACAGAACATCTTCAGCATGATCTGAGGGTGAATATATACTACATAAATTGATTGTGTATTTACCTTAACTTTTTAATTTTAAAATTGCAATTTTAAAAACTTGGTTGTGCTTTGCTGGAGGGGGATTGGGATAAGCTGCTTACACACATTTGCCTGTTTGTCCAGTGAAATTACATAAGCCTGACATACTCCTGCCAACCACATTGGCGTGTTTAAGAACAACTGTATCTACATGCTCTTGCCTGCAGCAGGAGGTCCCATTATATAGCCGTTCTCTAGGATAATCTTACACTTCATATGGAGAGTTGGCTCTTAGCTGAGGCTAGGTGGTTTTAGTTGAATTTGTAAGATATAGAATGACAGGCAAAAAAATTATTTGGAGGTTTTAACAGCATGCCAGCTTTGTCTTGCAGTTTTAACACTCTCTGTGTGGTGTTTGCCATGAAACTATGACCTCCAGTGCCCTGACAGGGAGAAGCTACAGGTTTCTGGCTTTCTTCGGTGAAGTTTCAGCCCTTGACCCTATACAAACAAGTGTGTATTAATTTGTCTAGTTGCAAATCAGGTGCCTTTGGGCTATGGAAGGGCTTATTTTCTGACGCTGAGAGATGATGACTAATCTGTGTGTGTTGATAGCAGTGATTCCCATTTAGGTTTTGGCCTAACTTACCTGTGCTGTCAGAAAAAAGGCCCAAAGCAGATTGGGGAGAAGAGATCGGCTCTTTTGCTTTGCTTGGACAAGCATTTTGAGTTGTTTTGTTGGGTTTTTGGTGTTTGATTTTTTTTTTTTTCTTCCCCAGTAGGGGTAAGCAGGGATTTCACATGCAAGAGATATAGGAATTATTAGTATCTAAGTTATTTGTGTTGCCTCACTACCTGGATTCATTCCTTGGTTTGCCTCATTTCCCACATAGGTCTTAATAGAGGCTACTGCTTGTGCTGGGAGAGTGCTTGTGTGAGAAAAGAATTATCTGTACATTCTTAACATATACTTATAGCAGAGGGATTGCCCTGCTACTGATACTTTGTTCCTGTAAACAGGTGACAATAAATGAATTTTAGTGTTTATGCAGATTTTGCATTGTAGAATGTATACTAGACCCTTCAAAGGAAAGGTTAGACTATTTGCAAAGCAAACTGGCGTTGGTTCTTGGTAGTCTAGTACAGGGACATTAAAGCTTGACATTTGATTTAGGAAAAACAAGAGTTGTATGCAGCTGTTTATGCTAAATAAGCTCTTGGTTGCTCTTTGTAGAAGTATAATTTGGAAGGTTTTAGTGCTTTGATAACACAATTGAAATTTTAATTTCTCCTGTACTCAAGAGCTGAATGCTGTTCTTGTATAATAGTATACTGGGCAGGATGAGGTGCAGAATAATGCACAGTGGTCAGAAACAGCTGAGGAAAGAATGCTTAAAATAACTTGATATAAACTCAGAATAGTTCCAAATCTTGTTTATCTTTGTTTTTTTTAAAGCACAAGTTGTCAAGTTGTACCTGTTGCTGTACATAAACACTGTATGCCAGCAGCTCCTTGATCATATTTGTGAACAGACTTTTCATTACTAGTAAACTGTTACGAAAGGAAGACACTGAGTTTGGGAGTGGAACAAAATGAGAAATGATCAGATTATCGACAGGATGTAAAAGTCCATTCTTTATGTTGGAGTTTAATCCCTTTGTTAGGAAATTCCCTCTCACTGAGAGACCTCTTCTGCAAGCAGAACACAAGAAGTGTGCTTTTTTTAAATGACCCAATTTTCCAGTATAAATGAGCAGCTGACTTTAGCAGTAGTCATGGCCATGTCTCTCTTTGCTGGCGAGGGAGCACGATAAGATAAAAAAAAAACTGTCAGTGATGAATTAAAACAAATCTGAGTAACCAAAATGACCAACACCCCAACATATAACATACTACACCCTGTTACTTAAGAAGGATGCTTGTGGAAGCTTTTAATCACTCAAGATTTTACTGTAAAAGCTGAAATAAAACAGAGCCTGGCTGCATTTATTACTGCCAAAAGCCAAGGTCATCTGCACATAGCCCATCGATTATCCAGAGTAGATCTCAGTTAATCCAAGGCATGGGAATGCATGCGTTTTCTTAGCTGGGCAAACAAGTACATTATACGGTAGTTGTGATACAACACACGTGGCTTTTATTTGTACTGCACATACCCACTGTACAGCCACTCAGAAGTATTGTGGTTAGCTTGCAGCATCCGCTGTCTGCATTTATACTGTTTACTGCGTATTCTTTTCCCTGGAAGTTTTAAAGAAAATTTTTTTTTTTTCTTGTTGCATTGATTACATTTTATAAATTTGCTTAGCTGGAAAGTTTGGGAAAAGAGGCCTGTTTGTCAATTGTACAACCGATTGTGAAGCTCTAGTGTGAATATTTTTACGTCTGTATTAGACATTTTCTTTGCAAATCTATTGTTCGATTGAAATGTAAATGAAATAAAAGATGGTGTACACCCATCATGTATAAAGCAGGCACCATCGCTACGATGGATTTAATGCTCATTTTTATGGCGCATTCTCAGCTTCTATTTAAAAACTATAATTTAAAAAAAATTTAAAAAAAAAATCTGTAAAATGAAATGGGGATATATGGGGGAGTAAATTCTATTCCGTTTATCTGGGTTGGAGTTGCCAGTGGTCGTTTCCCGTGCGGTAGCGTAGGGGCCCGGCGGGCGGTGCCGTGTGTGTTGCTGTAGTGCTGAGGTGAAGAGGTTGTGGCTTGGGCTGGTCACGGGTAGAGCATCCTGGTTTTCAGTGTTTGAGAGACGTGATGGAAGAAGTTTGCAGTATTGACATGTATTTGCATGCACGAATAAAAACTATTTGTGCACCTGACGCGGCTGCTGTTCCTTCCCGCGGGGCGGGGCCCGGGGGGCGGTGCTGGGCGCCGG